GTACATACCATCTCTGTCAAAATACAAGTATACTGCAGCTCGTAAGCATGCTGCGATCAACGGCATTGGCATGCCAATAGAGAATAGATCACAGACAAGAGAAAAAGCTACAAAGGAGCAGATAGAACATTTCTTAGAGTTCATAATGTCTCCAGCAATAATGACTGATTCACCATTTGGTACTTGTTCATATAAAATCTCTTCAGGAATCACTTTGAATGTTCCCAAAATAATTCTGAACAGTGTACGGACTAGAACTGTATCATTATATATGAAGTTCTGTGCGGAAGTAGAGTTTCGAAATGTTCTTTCTGAAAGGTCATATATGAGGGTCTTGGAAGCAGTTGAACCAGGTATCAGGAAGTCAATGAGAGGACTTGTTAATTTTGCCGCTGGTGGAAGTCAGGCTTTTGATGACCTCAAAAACGTTGTTAGAGTATTAGGTCAGCTTGGAAAAGGACACGAATGGTCAGAGAAGATGACTGGCATGCTTAATGAAGGAAAGCAGTACTTAAAAAGTTCAATACAAAGTACTACTAACTTTTCAGATGAAATCATAGATTTGCTGTAGATTCATTTAATTTTGGGACTACCAACATTCACCTAAACCTTCGGCTCAGGTGAGCTAAAGTCATAGCGCGTCGTCTGTCTGTTGTCTGTTATCTTTTCACATTTTCCACTTCTCCTTTGCAAGTCCCCAAGTCCTTTAACAAGTTTGTGTTTTTTGGGCTGAGCCATCAACAGATACAGCTGCATGGCCTCTGATTGGCCAACACATTTTCAACTTCTCTTCTGCAAGCTCTGTGACCCAATTAAGATTTCTATTGATTTTAGGGTCAGTCGATCAAAATTCAAGCTCTCATTGTCCTTGTGTATTAAAATAATTTCTTGACTCAAAGTATACTTTGCAGTTGTTTTCAATATAGGATCAGTACATGACTGTGGGTCAAAGGTCATGGCCTCATTAACTTTTGTTGCGGCGGGGTATTTGTCCTGTGGGACAGCTCTAGTTTGATTCTGATAACATACAAAGACAAATGTGAAATGGTGCTCACTACATGTAAAGGTTTCTTGAATTGTCATAATTTTTTTTCTCTGTGTTTTGATTTCTGTATGAATTATTATTCACTCACATACTCAGAAGATGAAATTAAACAATTTCTTGTTGTTATTTTCAGTTGCACATCAGTGAGAACTCTGAAATACCTGACCACTTCTGTACTCATGCCTTGTCATCAGAGGACACTGCTTATTCAAAAGCATGTGACCATTCACATCAGAAAGTTTGTGATGAATGCAATGGCATCACCAGTCTATTGGATGAGTTACAGGGAGCAATTAGTTGCCATGAGGTTAACTTCACTGATCATGACCAGAAAGATGACATTCAATATACAGTTGCAGAGGTATTTAAACCAGAACATAAAAATCAATATTTGACTTGTACCGGTATTATTACATACCTAGTTGTCAAGTGACCAAGTACGGGATGATATCTGGGTAGTAGGTTTCATCCTGTTCCTGGTCACTCTATGACTAGGTACCAATTTTACCCCACCAATGACCATTTTGACATTTACCATCTTTTAAAAATTTGTCATTGCTTCATTATTGCCGCCTGAAGTTTACCTGCTGTGACGTCAAATAAACAATGGAAATAAAGTGATGTCACAATATGCTCACAATTCATTTGAAGGTAACAGCTTATAAAGTTGAAGGTGACCAGATGAAAGATACACACTGCTTTCACGTGACTATTATGAACCAATCACTGACCGAGTTGTCACTGCAAACTAGTGAGAGGTGGGGTAAAACTTTCAAGGGGTTTTTTACTGCTGAGTTTTATTTAGGGTATTAGATATTCCTGGAAAATTTGCACATCCATCCAGAATCAAACACCTAAGAACATCCAGTGTTAGACATTCATTGCCTCTATTTACATTGCTACTGAATTTTACATAACCTAATTTATATAAGGGAGATGTATGTTACATGTAACAAAATCAAAACTTAATGTGATACACTTATCTACTTGCAGAGTGTGAAGTTGATTAAAGAATGGAAAATGCACATTATTCGCACAGTAAACCAAGACAGAGCAAGAACGAATATTTTGGAAAATATGAAGTCGGATGAAGCACTTCTAGAAAGAGATTGGGCTATGAAGTTCCTTCCCCTACAATACAGGTATTTTCTCAGGGTTTTGCAATATTTTTAGGCTGATTACATACCTTCACGTAATTTTTCTCTTGTAATTCATAGGTCACTATCCCCTCACAAGGTTGCAGGGGGATATTGTAATGCCAGCGTTCATGGGTACTTGGATTTGTCTCTCTGTGTGTATGTGTTTGCATGAAAATACATTGTAAGCAGGATACAGGTTACTGTTTTGATCCAATAGATTTCAGACTTCATATGAACACTGTCCTTGCCTCCGTAGCTGAGCTGCCACCCCCATCACCAAATCTCCCTAACACTTATCATTTTGAATACGTGAGACTCCCCCCCCCCCCCCCCCCCATCCCCGCTTTCCTCTACTCCACACATGCTCATACTTTATATATATATATATATATATATATATATATATATATATATATATATATATATATATATATATATATATATATAGCTGAGCACCCTCACCCCTTTATAATTTCTAACAAATTGTCCCACTTTCATACCCACTTTCTTCTTATGGTCCCAACTAATAACTTCTAGTTCCACATGATAAAGCGAATCCTCAGAAATGAGTTTGTAATTGGAATGACATTCTTCCCTTCATAGACCAAGTTTTGTGTGAAAAATCTTCTCTATTCACAACTAACACACTTCAAACATGTATCCGTGTTTATTCCGTTCCTTGTCAAGCAAGTGATCAGGTTTTCATGGAGTGAAGCTCAAAATTTGTTTTCAATCTAGAAGTAAGACAGTGCTTCATTTTATCCCCCCCCCCCACAAACAAGTTTGGGGGTGGTGGTGTTACATTGAAATTACCATGTCTGTCTGTCTGTCATCTGTTTGTCCAGACCGTATCTCTGCAGTTGTAAAATAAAATTGCATCATTGTTCTCAGGATTATTGCCCAGGACCCAAGGGTGTGGGTTCCCATTGGCAACTTAAGGGTCTCTTGTTACAATATTTTGAGAAATTTATGAGATTTTGAGAAACATTTCAAGTGACAAACTTACAGTGTCTTTGACTGTAATGTAAATACATTGTAACTTAGTATTGCTCATTTATTTCAGAGAATCCCAAGCAAAATGGTTTGCTAAAAGAAGGCTGTCATGGCATATCAGTGTTCTGTCATGGAAAGAGGAAGCCTTAAGATCAGCTACCTTTGTTCATGTTTTTGATATTGCAAATCAGGATGCAATAACATCAGCTGCCATTCTGCAAGATACTCTGGGTCGAATAAAGAATCTTAATGCAGCAATACAGAATGTTTATGTACAGTCTGACAATGCTGGCTGTTACCATTCAGTTTATGGCATTGGAGTTGTTCCCTGCATTAACCAAATGAACAGAAATGATATGAATATAAAACGAATGGATTTCTGTGACCCCCAAGGCGGTAAATCAATTTGTGATTGAAAAGCTGCTCATATAAAATGGTACATAAAAAGATTTGTGAATGAAGGAAATAATGTCTTGAATGCCAGTGACTTCAAGGCTGCTCTTGAAAACAAGATGAACAATGTTCAAGTTATTGTGTCTTTGCCACCAATTTCCAAACCACCAAAAGTGTTGCTGAAATTACAAAACATCAGTCAGCTTTTTGATTTCAGTTATGACAACAGAAATTTGACTGCTTGGAAGCAGTATGAGATCGGAAAAGGCAAAACAATAAATTATGACACTGCAGGAATTAATATAAATTGGGTAATCCCTGAAATTACTCCTAAGTCTGTATCCGAGGTCACATTAACATCTCCACCCATGGAAACACAGCCAAACGTAGCTTCTTCATCACCCACATGTCAAGAACAAGATGCAACAGCATCTTCATGTATAGCTGTCAGCAACCAAGAAATTGTGGAATCGTCGTGTGCAGATGACTGCAGCAATGTATTCACCTGTCCAGAGGATGGATGCATATCTACATTTTTAAGATACTGCCATTTGTGTAACCACTTAGATACAGGAAACCACACTTTTTCAGTTGAGAGAATGGACTTGCAGGATCGCTCAAGATTTTCGTATGCTATCCTAATTGAAAATAGACTTACTGGTCCAAATTTGAATGGATCAAAAGATGCTTCTTCAGGTGTGAGCACTTTGGAGAGAGGATGAGCTCTTAAAAAAAAGACAGAAGTCAAAAGATTTACTGAAACTCAAAAATCCTTTATGACCAAGAAATTCAACCAAGGTGAATCAACAGGATTCAAATGTGAACCTGAAGAAGTGGCACGAGAGATGAGAAGTGTAAAAAATGACAATAGTGAACGAATTTTTCACTATGGAGATTTTCTCTCAGCATCTCAAATTGCAAGTTTTTTTAATAGACTTTCATTAAAGAAAAGGCAGATGTCTAACACTGACTATGAAGAAAATGACTTGACAGCTGAAGGGAACATGAACAAATTGAATCAGATTTCTGATGTGGCTCTTAAAGCAGTGAACTAAAATACATTTTCTAACTAAAATAAAGATTTTAATATCAAAGGTTTTGGAAGGGGGATATAGGAATCACTCTGTTTGCTTGTCCATCTGTCTATCTGTCTGTGGACAACACTTGGATACGTTCAGCGAATCAGTGTTTAGGTCTGTTCCTGCTTATGACAAGTGGTATACAAACCAACCTTGTATGGATGGTTTGTCTGTGGATGGTGTGTCCATTGAGTACTTCGGATGCTGCAAATGACCTACATTCTATGCTTTAGTGACTTTGGTAAAGTACAGCTTTTATGTCTGTTCCCACATTATTACAAGTGGTATATAAACCAAACTTGCTTGCATGGTTTGTCTATGACTGCTGTGTAAAATGAATGCGGCACTCACATTTTCATTGTTTGAAAAGGTGTGAAGGAAGGTGAATGCAAAAACTTCTAGAAAGAAACCATAGCATCCCAGTGAAATAATCACATCATTCAATCCTTCTAGGCAAGGTATGCAATTATAACCATACTTGACGTGAAGCTTAGATAAAAGTGCAAACATGAAATAAATTGGTAGAACTGGATTTTCCTTCATTCTATGGATATCTTCAATGCAAGTTGGCTCATAGGAAGAAAAATCACCATGAAAAGGTGCAGAATTGTTATTCTCATCTTCTACAAATTTCATCTTCTCCTGGAGTTCAACAGCTCTTGTCCAAAACTTGAATCCTCTTTTTGAATTCCCTGTGCTAATCAAGAATGCTCCTCCATATTTCATTGCATCAATTTTATCATGCATGTTCACTTGAGGATGCTTCAGGAAATACCCTAGAGTTTTAGTGCATGATTTAAAGGTAAGAGCAGCATATATGACCACTGGTATGTTTGCAGCATTTACACTATTCACATTTGCTCCTGCCTTAACCAAATAGTCTATGACATGTAGGCGACTCTCGTTCAAATTGAAGCCCTGTCGGATAGTCCCATGAAGAATGTGTTCATCATTGCTGTTTTTGGCATTGACATCCACTCCTGCTTTTATAAGACAATTCACATTTTTGTTATCAGTGTCTGTCAAACTGGCTCCTTTGTTGACTAGATACTCCACTAAATGTTCATTTCCAGAAACACAAGCAAAATGTATGGCTGCCATTCCTTGGTCATTTTGTAGATTAACATCAACAGAATGGTTTTCAATGAGATATTTCACAATATTAGAATGCCTTCCACTTGCTGCAGACCACACACAAACATTCTTAACTTTTTCAACATCAATGCCACATTTATCTATAAGAAACTGCACAGCTCCTATCATTCCTTGTTTGCATGCTATCTCTAAAGCCATTTCTATTTCCTTCTGGTGGAAAGACTCAGTCAAGATCTTATGTCTTTCTGCTTTGCTTTTCTTCTCTAGAGCTTTCTGTAAGGCACTCCAGTCAAGCAATGATTTCATGGTCATCAAGAACTTTAATCTAAAATCATCAGATTTCACCTCAGCTGCCATGATGTTTGTTACCTGTGAACAAAAACATTAAAATTTATACTTCAGTATAATTCTGATATATACACTGAATTCCAAAATCTCTTGCACTGTAAAATGCTTGCACTGGGAGCTCTTACAGCAGTGCCTGGGTGAAGAGAGAATTAGGATGGTCTACACATTAATCAATTTTTCTGCAGAAAAATAGGACCACTTTCCCTTTAAATTGCTTTTAGCTATCCAAATAATAACAATAACCAGATAAAAGTTGACCAATGAAAACTAGAACTGTCCAAAAGGGACAAATACCCCCCGCTGGTTTTTCAGAGAAGGTACCAAATCACTAATGTTTTCTAGATGTGAGAGGTGTTCACAATTAATATGGCCGGGGCATATAGTGTTTGTCATGTCCGTCTTCCGTCCTTCCGTCTGTCCTTCCGTCACACTGTGCGTTTAGCTCTGTTCAAAGCTCAGTTTCAAAGAAACTATCCAATATATTTTTATCAAACTTCATATGCTGATAAATATTGATGAGAGCTATGCAACTGCATCAGCATTTTTTGACCTTGACCTTTCCTTTGACCTTGACCTCACTTTTCTTAAAGTAGTGTTTAGTTCAGTTTTAAAGATACCATTCAAGATAGTGTAATCAAACTTCTTATGTTGATACATACTGACGTAAGCTATTCAACTGCATCAACATTTTTTGACCTTGACCTTTCTTTTGACCTTGACCTCACTTTTCTTAAATTAGTGTTTAGCTCAGTTTTAAAGATACCATTCAAGATAGTGTAATCAAACTTCATATGTTGATACATACTGATGTAAGCTATTCAACTGCATCAACATTTTTTGACCTTGACCTTTCCTTTGACCTTGACCTCACTTTTCTTAAATTAGTGTTTAGCTCAGTTTTAATGAAACCATTTAAGATATTTTTAACAAACTTCATATGCTGATACATAGTGATGAGAGCTATTCAACTGCATCAATATTTTTTACCTTGACCTTTCCTTTGACCTTGACCTCACTTTTCTTAAATAAGTTTTTAGCTCAGTTTTAAGATACCATTCAAGATAGTGTTATCAAACTTCATATGCTGATACATACTGATGAGAGCTATTCAACTACATCAACATTTTTTGACCTTGACCTTTCCTTTGACCTTGACCTCACTTTTCTTAAATTAGTGTCAAACTTCATATGCTGGTACATACTGATGAGAGCTATTCAACTGCATCAATATTTTTTGACAGTGACCTTTCCTTTGACCTTGACCTCACTTTTCTTAAATTAGTGTTAAGCTCAGTTTTACGGAAACTATTCATAATATTTTTATCAAACTTCATATGCTGATACATACTGATGTAACCTTTTCAACTGCAGCAACAATTTTTGACCTTGACTTTTCCTTTGACCTTGACCTCACTTTTCTTAAATTAGTGTCAAACTTCATATGCTGATACATACTGATGTAAGCTATTCAACTGCATCAATATTTTTTGACCTTGACATTTCCTTTGACCTTGACCTCACTTTTCTTAATTTGTGTTAAAATGTTGCATTACTAATATACCCTCGGCGGGGCATTCATGTCCTATGGACATATTTCTAGTTTTAATGAATGAAACTTAGGTGCAGCCTAATAAAACATCAATACTAATAATTACATTGTTTTTTATTACATTGAAAAAATAGTTTGCAACTATCTGTCATCTTTGTGAGACGTGACACTCTGCAAATTGATTGTTGAAAAAAAATTATCATAATTAATTATACAAAATCAAATTGATCTTAATACCTTTATATCAAACTCATTTTAAAAATAAAAGGCTGGTTCCAGGAACTATGTATTTTGACAGACATAAATTACAATTAAGAGACTTAGACAACAGAGATCTTTATTTCTTTCTGCCCAATTCCCAGGAGATATACATGTAGATAAGACCTGCTTGATCAGAGATGCCCTAACAGCTTCCCACACTGAACTCATTAATTAATTTTTAACTGGATGCATGTCCACTCATTACTCCCAAGGGACAAATGGATTTACACTATCTGCTGTGTAATGTAAAAACTGTTTTTAATACTTTGTGATTTTTTTTTAGTTCTAATGAGCCGTTTTAAGCTGTAGTTCACATTTTTGTACATATGTTCTAGATTCTATGTCTCAAACCTTAGACATGAACCCGAAATGACTAAGTCAATAAAAATGAAAAAAAAAAAACAACCGTAAAATGCAGAAAAATTATCAAATAATGTTGAAAATACCAGGTGCACATCTTCATATGGTAAATAATAAGTGTACAAACTTGTATACAAATCTACGCAATAGTCTCTGGGAACAGATCCGGACAAAACCACATAATAAAAATGAAAAAAAAAACACCTGTAAAATTCCAAAAAATTATCCAATCATGATGAAAATACCAGGTGCACACCTTCATATGGGGAAAAATAAGTGTACAAATTTTCAGACAAATCCTTGCAACAGTTTCCAAGAAATGGTCCGGACAAAATCTCGTCTACAGACAGACGGACAGACAGACGGACAAGCTGATTCCAATATACATGTACCCCCCCTAAACTTCGTTTGCGGGGGGTATAAAAAGTCACAAAGTTTTAATCAAAATCAGTGTTTCCATTAAATGCAAATCTCTGTGTACTTTACACATATGAAAAAAATATTTACCCCCTAAAATAACACAAAGGGTGATCTTGATGCGGAAAAATATGAGAACAAATTTTAAAAATCGGGTTCAATGTTGTTGCCTGGACAGAACCAGTTTAATAACCTACATTCAGAATTACCAACAATCTATTAAAATTTTACAATTTTTTAACAAAACTGGAAGTCCAAATAAAAAAGATCACATCTGACATTGGCATATTTATTTCAGCACTGCTTTGTCAAAAAGGCTGAAGATGGTATTACATAGAAAGGTCTGTAAAGCTCAAACCATTTTTGAACAGTTTTGCAAAACAACAACTTTCAGATGTTGCCTCAGGTCACATAACAACTACAATTTTATTTACTTTCATATTTTATAAAATTATAATGTAAGGAACATGGCTTGTATAACTACCAAAAGCAGAATATATATTGACCCTCAAAAATTCTCTTCCGACTCCCAAAAGTTTACTTCAAAGGGTAATAATGACCCTTGGTTTTCAAAGTTAGCAGAAATGCAGAAAACTGTTTAAAATATTTCAATGCTCTTCATTAAAAATTTGCACACATTCAGTCTATGCGAAAGACAACGGACCGTCGGACCTGACCGATGTGCAGTGCTTCTGGTCCGATGCGTCATTCTTTACACCGGACCAGAATGTGCGATGTCTCAGCGTCCGGTTTTGAGCTTTACTATTTTGACGCAGAGTCATTCATACGAAAGCCTATTAGGATCAAACTACGGTAAAAAAAATTTAAAAGGCGTTATAACGCCTTTTGAAAAGGCGTTATAACGCGGAAAAAGGCGTAATAAAGCAAATAAAGGCGTAATTAAGCCATTCCAAAAGGCGTTATAACGCAAAAAAAGGCGTTATTACGCCTTTTAAAATGGCGTTATTACGCCTTTTAAAAAGGCGTTATTACGCCTTTCCAAAAGGCGTTATTACGCCTTTCTAAAAGGCGTTATTACGCCTTTCCAAAAGGCGTTATAACGCCTTTCCAAAAGGCGTTATTACGCCTTTCCAAAAGGCATTATTAAGCCTTTTAAAAAGGCGTTATTACGCCTTTCTAAAAGGCGTTATTACGCCTTTCCAAAAGGCGTTATTACGCCTTTCTAAAAGGCGTTATTACGCCTTTCCAAAAGGCGTTATAACGCCTTTCCAAAAGGCGTTATTACGCCTTTCCAAAAGGCATTATTAAGCCTTTTAAAAAGGCGTTATTACGCCTTTCTAAAAGGCGTTATTACGCCTTTCCAAAAGGTGTTATTACGCCTTTCCAAAAGGTTTTATTACGCCTTTCCAAAAGGCGTTATTACGCCTTTTAAAATGGCGTTATTACGCCTTTTAAAAAGGCGTTATTACGCCTCTTTTTTTCAATACATGACTTACTTAGCCCACCCTGGGTGCTGATTATAATTAGATTTCTAGGAAAAAAGATTTTTAAATGTGTAAAATATTTTCAGTGTTAAACCAACTTAGTCCTTCTCTGATGCCAGACGCTTCTACCAAGGTGTATGGATTTCAGAAATTTTGTTGAAGGCTAATTGCTCATTACACCTATGCAAATACTTTGCCTGTTTTTTACCAAGAGGAGAGAAAAATATTTCAAATTTGACATGAATTTTTAATACGTGGCTAGCAAAGCCCAAAGCTGGTTCTGCCTATATCCTGGATTTTCAAATGTAGAGTGTTGACTTCTCTTAATATGCATGCAAAATGCAAACAACTGTCTGCGAGATGTGCAGGAATATAGAAAATACTATAATTTATAATATTAAAACTATAATCTAAATATTGCATAAAGAAAGATGGCTTTGGTTCAATCTTTCTTATATTTACTATTTTAAAATAACGCCTTTCCATTTTTGGATGCAACTCCTTTTCAAACAGGCCGGTAGTACAAATGTGAGTGGGGGGGGGGGGGGGATGTCCCACCCCACATTTTGGGAGAATAGTCTTGCTATAGTTTAAATATAAAAAAATCATTAATTGATTGCTTGGTCCCTTAACATTTTGTTGCAGTATGGTTAAACTCGAGCAAGTCATTGCATTTAAAAAAAGTTTTACCGAAAAATTAGAAAAAGTTTCCCCTCAAGTTTAGGCAGTTTTTTTTTTCGGGGGGGGGGGGGGGGGTGTTCTTGTTTTTTGTTTGCTTGTCAATTTTATGGGACCCCACCCCCACCCCCACTTTAAAAGCACGGGCCTGTCAAAGACATAATAATGGCCCTTTTGGAAAGGCGTAATAACGCCTTTTTTCGCGTTATAACGCCTTTTGGAAAGGCGTAATTACGCCTTTATTTGCGTTATTACGCCTTTTTCCGCGTTATAACGCCTTTTCAAAAGGCGTTATAACG